CGCCCTCTGCCTTTTCATGCGCGTCGTCGCATTGTAGCTTCTCGCCAACACCCCCCCCCCTTCACCCAGCGCGTCGCGAACAGATCTTCGTCGTCCAAGCTTCTCGCCGACTTGTACTACAGGCGCCATCACTGTTTTATCGTCGTGTTTTACGAGCGCCGCCATCTCATCTTCTTGCCTCCTTCGACATTACTCGCCATCAAGCGTGCTCTATGTGCGCCGCCATCTAATCTCGTCGCTGCCTGAAACCTCTGCCACTATAAACACTGACGACCTTCCTATCGTGCGTCGCGCCATCGTTTCTTCTCGCCGCCATCTGTTTTCGCCGCCATCAACCACCACTCGCCGTGTGGTACTGCGCGGCGCGGAAAGATCTTCTCGCCGCCATCTCGAGGTCGACGGATCCATGTTCTTCTTACGCGCCTTCCATTCCATCTTCAACACACGACACGCAATGTCTTCTCGCCCCGTTCCGTCTCGGCGAGTTCTTGGGAAACAAGTCAGTGAAGGCGAGGTCGCACCGAAGAAAGGTCACCACAATCCCACGAAAAGAAGAAGGGGCGTCCAAGGCGGGAAGGACGCAGTTGGGAGAGAGGTGGAGGCAGATTGGGTGGATGCACAGGAGAGACAGGAGGAGGACGACGACTTCGAAGAGTACAGGAACAGACTCTCGTGAGGAAAGTGAAGCAGAGAACGGGGGGTGTGATACGGATCGAAATGGGGGGGGTGGGCGCTGCGGAGGTGGCTCCTAATCAGCAGTAGACGCCGTCGAGTAAGCGGAGCGAACACGATGTTGGTGTGGCTAGCAGTTCCCAAACTGTGGTCAACCAGTCGACGATGCGTTCCCCTGCGCCGCAGCCGCGCGGGGGGGCAGTTCAGGGTGCGTCTGCCGTGGCGGACGTTGCGAAGGCGGGCGATGGCGGGGCGGAGGGCGAAGACGACGAACCGCTAGTGAAGAAGCTTCGCGGGCAACGTCCGGAGGCGAAAGCGGTGGAGGTGGCCGCGAGGCTATGGACCGACGACATTCGGTTCTAGAATAAAATGCGGGGAAAGGAAATCATCTACATCATGCACGAAGCCCGAGTTCACCTCGTTGATGTGGAGACGGGGGTGCAGCCATCGGCGATCCAAAGGAGCATCAACCTCCCCCATAGTTCCATTCCGCAGAAGAAGATCGAAGACGCCTCAGAGTTGAGGGCGGCGAAGGAAAGGGCATTAAAGGTGGAGAGCATTGCGAAGAGGGTCATCCACGGCTGGATTTTCAAGTCCGACAGCAAACACAAGGGGTATCACTTGGCGTACCAGTATGCCTTGAATCACGCGGCGACTGACATGGCGAGAGCAATGTGGGCATTGGAGGACTGGCGTTCATTAGTCAGCCCGATGGCGATTCGAAACACGCTGGAGTTGGGTATGAAGCTCCCTTTGTGGTTTGTCGGAGCGAACGTGGTGGACAGGCACCAGGACGACGAGTGCGCGGCTTACCAGGAGGCCATCGCTCAACGTTTGGTGCGCGATTTCACGAATGTGGTGGAGGCGGCGCAAGCGATGGACTCGGGGCGTGTGTCTTACGAGCACCTGAAGTCCCTGGCGAAGGCGATGAGGTACTTGCTAGCGGCGGCGGCGTGGATAATGAGGATGGTTGGGGATGACGCAAGATCGCACTTCGACGCCTGAGTTTTCGTGCAGTTGACGTCGAAGACCACCCTTCTTGCCGCCATGGATCGCCATTTTGACTCCCGTCATCATGTCTTGCTAGCAGCAATTGTGATGACGGAGAAACTGGGAAGACCGCCTCCAACCTTCGCTCCCCCCCCACTGTACATCCCCGACTGGGCATCGAAGTGCGGCGTCACATTCAATCACGACGCGACTTTGCACTCCCTAATGGAAGCAACGAAGACGGATTGGCTCGGCACAGGCCCCCCTAAGGAGGAAGACTCGTACGACGACGATGTTGATGGCACCGAGGGCGGGTGATAGTGGGAGTGGAAGTGGATGGACTGCCGGCGAGGGCGGGCGATCGTTCGCGGAAGGGTTTAGTAAACGTCGGGGGCGAGGGTTCGTCATCCATGCGCACAAAGATCATCGATGGGGCAAAGACGAAGACAAAGGTGAAGATGGTGGCAGTGCAACATGGACTGGATCGCCAGAACGAGACCCCCTTTTTTTGATGATGACGTCGACGACGAAGATGATGATGGCGGCGAGGGCGGGTATCTGCAGCGGGGAGACTGTATCGATTGTCGTCGCGATGCCACCACCGCTGTTGCGTCCTTTGTCGGGGCTTTCACGCTGGGAGTCGCACTTCCTGTCCCTGTTTTCCGTGGTTCATTTTCTGTCGATTTTTCGTCTTGCACACCCACACCATCGACGATCGATCGGTTGGTAGTGCACCTAGTTTGCGTCATTCGGTGTCTACTACTTAGGTTGTCAAGTGGACGGCACGTGTTTTATCTTCTTCGTGGGAGGACAGACGCCTTTGTGTGTTTTGCTGTCAGCGCCGTGTATATCATTTCGTAATCGTCCTTCACTTTCCGTTTACGTTCTCTGCGTCCTCTTCCTGCATTCGTTGTGGATTATGAAGAAGAGGAGGCTTCGGTTCTGTACTCACTGATTGTTTTTAACGTGCTTCGAAGTCATGTTCCAATTGACAAGGGAAAACAACGTTGTTCTTCTTTTTCATTCGAACAATGGATTCGTGTATTTTGTGGGCGATTGGACAACCGTCT